GCTGTGCACTGTCCTTACTTTGTCGTTGTGTGCTGCCTTTTTATATGAATGCTCGGTTGGACCGTGTGGGGTTGCACACGCATGACCAGCCGAAGGAAAAGGACCGTACCTTTTGGACTGTTTCACTTCAGGTGTACATCGAACGTTGGCCAGTCTAGCGGTGCAAATTTATGCGCTTCGCCTTGACCAGCCCCGCGGTACACATTTAGTGTTTCGCCCTGCAGTGTTGCAGGCTGTTTCAATGGAAGTGCAGCCTTCCGGTGCCCCAACAGATTCGCGCGGAAGGACTTGACTCCTCTCGTGCAATTCACAATATGAATACTAGTCTCATCTCTCCCCCGAATGTGCGCGCAGAGTGGCCGCCCCCTCTCTCCGCATATTTTTGTTGCGCACATTCTTTGCGCGAAAGAGCTAGAGCTTTTCCTTGGTCGATCCCTCCGCTTCTTGTGATATTGCGCACAGGACTGTCGCGAGCCACTTTTTTGCATATGAACTCCACCGTTCAAGTGTTTACAGATTTTCAAGAATGGTACTCTCGCTGCAGCGTGAGCCTCGTTTTCGGATCGGCGCTGTGCTCCCAGAGTTCAGACTGGCACTCCCACCCCAGCGTGGGCCACTTCTGGATCCAACAGGTCTCGCACGTTTCGCAGGCACAACGCGTCCCACAGGTCCTACAGGACAGGTGTCAGAGGTCGCCCTACAGGTCCCACCAGTCTGACATATCCCATATGTCCCACAACTCCCACACGTGTCGCAGGTTTCGTAAGCCCACAGGTCCAAGAGGTCCGACAGGTTCTGGCGGTCCCACAGGTCAGGCATGTCCCGCCAGTGCAACGGGTCCCACAGGTCCCGCAGTTCCCACATGTCCCACGGGCCCCGCAGGTTCCACAGGTCTCACTGGTGTCGCAGGCTTCACAGGCACCACAGGCCACAGAGGTCCCCCAGGTCGCACAGGTCCCACAAGTTTCCCTTGTCCGGCTGCGCGTAACATAACACGAAAGGGTGTTTATAACGTCGCATGTCGGTTGTGACCCGCGTCCGCGGATAAAGAAAAGCCAGCGCAATTGGAATGGATGGGAGGGAGGGATGAGATGTCAGACATGGCGAGAGCGCACCTAGCTAGCCCTCCTTCTCCTCCTCCTCCTTGGTCTCCTCCCCCTCCTCCTCCTCCTCCTCCGTTTCCTCCTGTGGTTGTCTTCTCACCGAGAAGTTTTCGAGGATTGACTTGGTCTGATTTGACCCGGCCTGGCCTGACCTGACCTGACTTGACCTTGCCTGACCTTCTCCTCCTCCTTATCCTCCTCCTCCTCCTCTTCCTCCTCCTTTGCCTCCTCCTCCTCCTCCTCCTTCTTCTCCTCCTCCCTCCTCCTCCTTCTCCTCCTCCTCCTCCTTCTCCTCCTCCCTCCTCCTCCTCCCTCCTCCTCCTCCTCCTCCTCCTCCTCCTCCTCCTCCTCCTCCGCCTCCTCCTCGTCATCCTCCCACCTCCCTCCTCCCTGCCGTGCTCCCCGCACACCTCCTCTCCGTCATTCCGTGGCTTTTCGAGCCTTCAGTGCCTTCTGCCTCCCCGCTGGTTTCAGCCTGGTCTCATTTCGCAGTGCCGACGACCACGCATGTATGCCGGTAGCATTACGTGCGCAGATTCCGGAGGGCGCGGAGGGCTTTCGGAGGGCGCGACCCTCGGACCCTTGGGATGGAAGAGGCTCCCCCTCTTCCTCCAAAGGATTCCTGCGGATTCCTACGGCGTCCAAAAGGTTCTGCAATTCCGCTGGCTTTGGGGGTTGTCGCCAAGTTCCCGAGGATTTCTCAAGATTCCGCAGGATCCCTTGGGATTCCAAAAGGGCACCGTCAGGCTTCCAAGAATTCCTGAAGGTTCGGAAGGATTCCTCAGGACTCTCGCAGATCTCACAGGACTCCGAAGTATTCCTGCTGATTCCTGGGCATTCTTCCAGATTCGTCAAGTACTTCCCCAACCATCCTGTGTTGTTGGGCCTCGTTGTGACAGCGCCCCGCGTCTTACTCACTAGCTCACTCACTCACTCTCTCTCTCTCTCTCTCTCACGCACTCACTCACTCACTCATTCACTCACTCATTCACTCACTCACTCACTCACTCACCCACTCACTCACTCCTCCTCCTCCTCCTCCTCCTCCCTCCTCCCTCCTCCCATCCCCCATCCCTGCCTCCGCCCTCCGCATGTCCATTTCTGCACGCCTCTCACTCGCTTTGTGGCCCTTTGGAGAGCCATGCGGCCCCCCGCCCACCGCAGGTCCATTTCGGTATACCCCTCTCGCGTCGTGGCCCCATAGGGAGCCTTACCTGAGGCCCCAGTGCGTGCGGCCACATGCGGCCCCCCCACCCACTGCATGTCCATTTCGGCATGCCCCTCACACGTTTCGCAGCCCCCGAGGAAGTTCCAAGGCCCTGGTGGGTGCGGCCACTTGCGGCTCCCCGCCCACCGCACGTCCATTTCGGCACGCCCCTCATACGCTCCGTGGCCCCCAATGGAGCCTTATCCAAGGCCTCTGTGGGTGCGGCCACATGCGGCATCCCGCCCACCGCATGCTCATTTCGGCACACCCCTCAAACGGCCCGTGAACCCGTAGAGAGCTCCATCGAAGGCCCCAGTGAGTGCGGCCACATGCGGCTCCCTGCCCACTACATATCCATGTCTGCACACCCTCAAACGTTTCGTGGCCCCACAGGGAGGCCCACCTAAGGCACCAGTGGGTGCAGCCATATGCGGCTCCCCGCCCGCCGCATGTCCATGTATCGTTTTTTGTTTTGTCATTGTGTTCAGGAGCTCAGAGATGATCTGGCCGAAAGCGACATTCAGGAAGCCGCCCGAGCGATAGACACGTCTTGTGCTGCCAGCGTTGCGCTTTTCGCCAAAGGCATGTTTCCTCACCCTGGTGGTCTCTGGCCTCGCCCTCGTGCTGCTGATGGCGTCGTCATCTCTTGGGAGGAGGACCCTGGTCGCCAGGACACCAGAATTTCAGGTTACGTGTTCATGAATGGTAGCTGCCTGCATAGCATTCGTGAGTTATCCTGGGCAAGTGGGGGGGTTACAGCTTATAGAGACAGGCGAGTTGCTAGTTTCGGTTGGGTCTATGTGGGCCCCCTCCCCAAGACCAGCCAGGCTGGCGAGTTTGGCGCTTTTGAAGCTGCCTCCCGGTGCCTCGTGGGACCCGCTAGGGGGCACTCCGAGTGCTCTGTTGTCCGTGTTTTGGGGAACCCAATGCCCTGCAGCTCTCCTACAGGCGGCCCTATGCGGGTATGATGTTCTCTGCTTTGTCTGCCCCGTGGGAGTTTGTGGTCAAACGCACAGCTCACGACCAGGACTGGGATGACCTCATCCCGCAGTAGTTTTTCTTTAGCGCGGCAACGGTGCCGCCGACACTGCAGCGAAGGTTGGGTTGGCACAACATCCAGCAGCCTCGCCCCAGCTTCAGCAGGAAGTGGCCTTCAACATCAGAGTTACCAAGTCGGTTACACATCTTGGCGCCAAGTTGCTGCCTCTGTGGCCTCGTATGGACCTGTCGGGAATTGAGCTGAAGAAGGCCCCCCAGCAAAGTAGCCGACCCTGTCGCCTCAGTTGAGCATGACGGGTTCTAGCAGTGCACTTACTGGAGGTGTGCCACGTGTCTGCGCTACAGGCGCCAAGACAACCGCCCCGTCGCCCTGGGTTGCTCTGGCCTCGTTCCTGTCAGCCTCCAGGGAGGTTCTGCTCGTGGGTTTAGGCTCCTCTCTTTCGTGTGTTCATATGGGTCCTCTCTTTTTGTTTGTGTCGCCTGCGAGGCGACCAACAACTTAGGCCCCCCTGGTTCTGGTCGGCGAAAGCTGCATTCGGATGCCCACTCGCAAGAACAGGGATTGCTGGTCTTTACCTAAATAGGGCTCTCACCCGCGTCTGAAGTATGTGAGGGTGGAAGTCGAGCGTTTACCCATGGACGAGGAGCTGGAGGAGGCTCCCGCCCAACCTGTGCACTGCGCGGGCGCACCCCACGACGTCCCTGTGCCTCCCGTGGAGTCGGAGTTGTAGGCGCGGGGGCCCGCTCCGCCCTCCTAGGACGTCGTCCCGTCGCCATGTCCCGTCGGCCCGGATCCGGGGATGGGGGGCGGATGGCGGGGCTCGTCGGGCAAGCCCCTCTGTCTTTTCGTCGTTGCACGAGCCACTTGGAGTGTCCAGGCGTCCACCTCAGATCAGTTTGACGCCAGGGGCCCGGCCCGGAGAGGTCGATCAGCATGCCGCGTCGTGTCGCTTCTGCTCGTGCCCGTTTCACGCGTCTCTCTCGGCGAGCCCAACCGTCCTCCAGGGGCCTGGGCGCGGGTGGCCCCGCATCGCGGCATCCGCATCCGCATCCGCATCCGCATCCGCGTTCTCTGGCTCCCCCCCTCCCATCGAGGAGGGTGGGCAGCCAGGCGGGCAGCTCTAATGTATGAGGGAGCGCCTCCTTTAAGAGGAGGACGAGGCTCCCCTCGTCCAGGCTGCCCGTTTGGTCCTGGCGGTGCCCGTCTCTCGCGTCGGCCACCGCCTTGGCCTTTCCAGCGTCGCCAGCATTTCTGGCGATGGAGGGGCGTGCAACCCGTTCTCCAGGGCTAGGTTCATGTCAACACAAAATCCACATGCGGCTGCCCGCTTACCGCATGCCAATGTCGGCACACCTCTCACACACGCTTCGTGGTTCCATAGGGAGGGAGCTACACCGAAGGCCCCCGTGCGTGCGGCCACATGCGGCCCCCCGCACACCGCATGTCCATTTCGGCACGCCCCTCACACGCTCCGTGGCCCCATAGGGAGCTCAAGCTAAGGCCCCTGTGCGTGCGGCCACATGCGGCTCCCCGCCCACCGCATGCCCATTTCTGCACATTCTCAGAAGGCCGGAGGGCTTCTGAAAAGCCCCGCCGCCTTTTGAGAAGGCTTGTCCCCTCTCGCTTCCACTTTCGGCGCGCCGCCGACTGGAGGAGGGGGGGTGGGCGGAGGAGGGCGTCCGATGCCGAGGCGTCGACGTCCTCGACTACTGGGTCGACGGCGCCTGGGACGTCGACGGCCTTCGGGACGACGTGGAGGTGTGGCGATCGGGCCCGCCAGGCTCCTTCTTTGGTTGTTGCCGAAGAGACTGATTTTACACTCTTTCTCCATCTTTCCTCCTTCCTCCTCACTCCCTTCCTCCCTCCTTCCTCCCGTCTCGTCTCGCGGTTCGCAGCCCGCCGTCCACGCTCGTCTTCCCTCCCCCTCTCGCCCCTTCGTCTGTCCAGCTGCCTGCCTCCCCCCTTCATCAGCTTCTCTTCTCTCATCCGCCCTCAATAATTTCCTTTCTGTCTCTCCTTATCCCTATCCTCCTCCTCCTCCTCCTCCTCCTCCTCCTCCTCCTCCTCTTGAAAGAAGGAAACACTATTTTGCCTGGGCTTGAGGCTCAAGCGCTGCGGACATGCTAACTGATGCTACATGCTCATGCTGTGCTCTACCATCTGCCTGTCGTCTAACACGCCCCCTCAGGTCTTAGCCTGTGGGGAAGAGATGTTTGCTTGGCTATGTCCCGTCAGAGCACTGCTTGGGCTCGCCCTTGGGAGACACCCCAAATATCAGAAAATCGCATTCGTTAAAACGCGAAAAATGGCCAGAACAGAACAATATGATGATACATAATGTGCGATCGCGAATCCAATTCCGTTTGGACAATGGCGTCTCTGTTTGGGCTCATGCAGCATCTTCCGTTTAGCGTGTCATTTCTGGCTGATCTGTTTCATACGGCTTGCCACCGTTTCTAGCACCTGCCGGAGACTCTCCATCTTTGTGAGACTTCCGATGTCATGGAGCACGTCGCGCAGAATCTCGTTCTCTGCGTCTCCTGACGATTTGACTCCTCTTCATCACTGGCCGGGGACGGCTCGCGCCCACTGGCTTTCGCCGCCTTTGACTTCTGCGACGGCGAACGAGACCGCGTACGCGTAGGGCTGACGCTTGTCAAGCGTTTCCCGCCGACCTTCCTGGCTACCGCTGCTTCGGTGCGGGGTTCCGCCGGTGGCGGCGGCGATGCCAGAGTAGTGGCCCATGCCTCTTTCGGCGGCACCGGTCTGTACGGCCATCGCACGTCTGATGAATAGTGTACCACGACGCTGCTCGCCAGCTGCTTTGCGGCAGCCTCGTCCATCTTATGGATCGGTGCGTTTTTGTTTCAAGTGACGGACTTATCTCTTCGACAGAACATCTTTCGTTTGCTGCTCTGTGTGCATATGTTTCCAGAAAGTTTCGACACACTGCCTGTCTTTCTGTGGGCACTGCGCGGAGAATGTATGCCATCTGCACGTGGCTTGCAAGAGGCATTGTACTTATGGACGGTACGCTGAGGTGCAACAATTTCAATCATGCTCTTGGTCCGAGATGGCGACGGATCTTCACAAGAAACCGATGAGACCCTTCAGGTACTCAAGGCTTGTTTGTCCAACAACTTCGTGCCTATGTCCGAATAGTTTTCGCTACTACGTACTTTGGCAAGCTGAATCAAACCTTTGCGCAAGAGTTGCTGTACGTGCAGATACTTTCAATGTATCTACGTGTTTCAGTTTGCCTAGTCCGAGCCTGGCGGCAATCGACCTGCCAGCACTCGAATCTGACCGAACTCGAACGGTCACCTGGAGACCTAGTTTGTTTAGGATGCTTCGTGCTAGAAGTCCTTCAGCGGCTCCTGAAACGATTGCGTACAATTCAGCTTCGCCTGAGCTCTGTGCCATCACACTTTGTGTCCGGCTCTACGTGCACAAGAGACATTCACCCCAATGCACAACTCCTGCGCTGGTTGATTTTCGCGTTAGCGGGCATCTGGCTCAATCAGAATTGTCATAAACAGTTGCATCAGGAGATCTATTGGAATTTCTTGGTGAAGGTTATTGTTTCGTGTCCCCTGCAGGCAGCGCAACACATGTTTCAGCATACGCATGCCAAAGTGTGTCGGCTTAGCTAGCTGTCTCGCGCGCTCTTTCACTGCATACTGTATGTCTGCTCCCTCGCTACATACGAACTGGCATTTTACTACCACGCACCTGTATTGATGATGCTGTTGTTTGTTCAAGTATTCAAACTCCTCACCAACAGCTCCAGGCACAGCGTTTTCCGTATCATCTCGTGTCTCTGCCATAGGCAAACATTTTCTCAAACCTAACACACCCGGATATTCATCTACATGTTTTGGATACGGGCTCACTTGGATGCCATATTCTTCTCGCAGGTCATACCTGCCAAGGTATTTGGTAACTATTGTTTCATTGAGTCTTTCGCCTCGCCTCACGAGAACATGCTTTTCGGGATCGGTGAAAACCTGAGTCACATTCTTATCTGGGCCGACGACAATCGGATCATCGACTTGGATGCTCACGTACATTTTAGACTATGCGTTCCGAAACAGCAACGGATCATTGAGACAACGTTTGGAAATCCTAAAAATCTTGGGGGGCTTTTCGGAGACCGTTCATCGCCTTACGCAAATCGCACGCCCAGCCTGGATACTTAGATCTCCAGGGCTCCGGTGGACAACAATACACGGCCTCATCCGTGTTCTCCGCACGCATGGAGCCCGTTTCTTTATTGCTTGGGGTATGACGGGCGTCATGGACCCCGCTCCCCCCCCCCACGACGTAACGCTCCCCCCCCAATGCGCTCCAGGCACTGCCGCCGTGCGCAATGCGATCCGCGTAGGTGTCCGCACAGGACCGCATAGGAGTCTCGTCCGCAGTCGTCGTCGTCGTCGTCGTCGTCATCGTCGTCATCGACCTCGTCGTCGTCGTCGTCGTCGTCGCTCATCGTCGTCGCTCATCGTCGTCGCTCGTGGCTCGTCGTTCGTCACTCATCGTCGTCGTGCGCGCGGACGCGGCTGGAGCCTGCTTATTATTCCGGGCCGATAACGGCAATCATTTGGGGGGGGCGCAGGGGGTCGATGACGTCACGGTTCGCGCCGGCGGCGTCTGGGAATGCTTGGGAATGACGGAGGATGGGCAGCACCAGCATGTGGGTGGCGATCTGCACCGCAATGCTTGTGTACACCACAGTGCCTGCGTGCGCCACAGCGCATGTGTACACCACACCGCCTGTGTACACCACAGCAGCCGCGTGCCACCGTTCCTGCGGGCACAACAGCTCTTGTGTACACCACAGCGCCTGCGTACACCACATCAGCCGTCTGCAACACAGCACCAGTGTACACCACAATGCTTGCGTGCATTGCAGCGTCTATGTACACCACGGCGCCTGTGTGCACCACAGCAACCGTGTGCAGCACAGCAGCTTTGTTGTTTTAGAATGTTAGAAGAAATCCTTATGACAAAGTGGAGCTCTTGTGGATTCCAGAGAATGCAATATAAACGAATCCTTATGGACAAAGGAGCGCCAGTGGAATCTACGAGTCCTCCCGAGTCCGCCCGCATCACCCTATCTTCTCCCATTTGCGTCCAGGAGGCTCCACCTAAATTGGCCGTCCGAGAACCAAGCGGACCGATTCAATCGACCATTCTGCGGTGCACGCTGAGATGCGCACGTGCGCTGTAGCGCCAACCCGCACGACAGGGGGTAGGAAGGAGGAGGAAGAGAAGGAGGTGGAAGTGGAGGAGGATGGAAAATAGAAAAACGTTGCATTCGATTATCATCACTTTCTTGGTGTGCCGTCTACTTGTCCGCAGCAGATCCTCACGTACATGCTCCTTCTGTCTTATGCACGCAGGCACTGTTTTGTACACCAGCGTTGCGTTGCACGCGGATGCTGTGGTGTAGACAGGCGCTGTGGCGTGCACAGGCGCTGCGGTGCACGCAAGCATTGTGTTGTACACAGGCGCTGTATTGCACGTGGTTGCTGCGGTGTACACATGTACACCAGCGCTGTAGTGTACGCAAGCACACTCTGGTGTACCCAGGCGCTGCGTTGCACCACGCCGTTGTTGCGGTGTACGCAGGCGCTGTGGTGTACACGCGCGCTGTGGTGCACGCGAGCGCTGTGGTGTACACAGGCGCAGTGGGGCAGATCGCCACCTACATGCTGCTCGCGTCGTCGTCGTCGACGTCGTTGTCGCTCGTCGCTCGTCGCGTCGTGCGCGCGGGCGCGGCTGTGGTGCCAGAGCCACACGGCGGGGGGGCGTTACGTCATCCCCTCCTCCGCCCCCCCCCAAGACGTCCGTCATCGCCGGACATAAAGAAACGCGCTCATGAAAGCACAACTGAAATCACCAATTTGCACAGCGAAATGTATGACCATGGCGATGCCAAGGAGTATCTTTAAACCTACTGGTGTTGGAGTGGTGGCAAATACATCTTTGCGCTCGCTGTCAAACTTACAATCTTTGGCTACCAGACGGGATCTTACTTCATCGCCGCGCATTTTGTGAAGCCACCGCGTGTCAATCGGTTTTGTCGCGGCTTCGCTCTCCTTACACCACCAGAACAGTGCAACATCTCACCGTTCGTGCCTTCCTGCACCATTTGTTTCGGAAGCCCGTCGATCAAATCGTGATGTCTATCACAATGTTCGACCAGATCTTCTGGTTTGTCATAAAACTCATACAACGTCGGCCCTTTTCCTCGCACAAATCCGTCTTCCCTGATGTCGAAAATCGAACGGATGGCTGCCATCGTTGATGCTCCAGGGGCGTCTGGGTGCTCCCCCTCAGGCTTCCGTTTCTCGCCTGGTGCGGGTGTCGAGTTTTCAATTTGTTTCTGAAGTCTGTCAGTCGAACTGTCCGGGGGCCGTTTCGATGAAATTCGCACTCTCTGGGCTAAATCCTCAGCAGCATTGTTGGCCTGCTGCTGTTACTGTGGTGGTGGTGGCGCGCCAGTTGTTTGTCGTTTTTGTTGGCGTTTGTTTTCCCATTGTTGTCTGCGCCTTTTACACTCTGCCGAATGGGTGTTCCCATGGGCACCGCTGTGGCGCGCACGGCAACCCGGAGTTTTCCCGCACGCCTGCTAGAACTGTTTCAATTTCCGCTCGCGTTCCGTCGCACCCTGTTCGACCAGCGGCGCTGGTGGAGATGGATGACTTGGCGCCGTTTCGGTTGGTTCCTCTGTTCATTTGATGTCCCAGGGAACACCCTGGACCTTTTTGATGAGAT